GGCCCATGCGAGGCAGGTCATTATCAAAACAACCTCTACCTATGATGAGGACGGGTAGACGATGAAATCATGTGACTCCTGTGTTGTTGGGTTGGTGGTGCTTAAGTATCATGTATGCCAATGTTTTTGAAATTTTGTAGTTTCCAGTGTTGCGTTCTATAGTGTCTGTGACGGCGATTAGTGAGGCTTCTAGGCACCGTCGGCGTCTGAGGTCTGGTTCGGTGAGAACGAGTTGTGACTCATTCCAGCTCATCAAATGCCCCGTGGAGTCTCTGTGGAGGACACAGGCGTACCTTACATCGTCTCTGAAATGCTCTTGTTGTCTAATGTGATACAGTTCATGCAGGTTATAAAACAATGTAATTGCACATTTTCACAATCCATTTAGACCCGTGTGTATTTACCTCCAGACACTTAGTAAGATTCATTGTAACAGTGTCTGGTTCATTTCTTAACATTCTAATACCGAGTACAGTGTAAATCTCAACAATCCTATCACTGATACTAAAAATACCAAGCCCCTTCCTCATATTAAGAACCTTTGTAGATTTGGGACAGCCAAAAATAATTCTGAGAGCTTCATTTTGCATTAACTCCAAGGGTCGGAGAGAACTTTCTCTAGCTAATATCAGCATAGAGCATGGACACTGGAGTCGTCCCACAGTTACTTAAAACAACAGACATAGCCCCACTCCACAAAGCCGGCAGTAGAGCAATAGCAAAGAACTACAGACCTATAGCACTAACTTTCCATATTATAAAAATCTTTGAAAGGGTTCTAAGAAGCAAGATCACCACCAATCTAGATACCCATCAGTTACACAACCCAGGGCAGCATGGGTTTAGAGCAGGTCGCCCCTGTCTGTCCCAATTACTGGACCACTACGACAAGGTCCTGGATGCTCTAGAAGATGAACAGAATGCAGATGTAATCTACACAGACTTTGCAAAAGCCTTTGACAAGTGTGACCATGGTGTAATAGCGCACAAAATGCGTTATAAAGGAATAACAGGAAAAGTCGGTAGATGCATCTATAATTTTCTAACAAATAGAACACAAAGAGTAGTAGTCAACACAGTAAAGTCTGAGGCGGCAACGGTGAAAAGCTCTGTTCCACAAGGCACAGTACTCGCCCCCCATCTTGTTCCTCATCCTCATATCCTACATAGACAAGGATATAAGCCACAGCGCAGTGTTTTCCTTTGCAGATGACACCCGAATTTGCATGACAGTGTCCACCATTGAAGACATTGCAAGACTCCAGGCAGACATCAACCAAATCTTTAAATGGGCTGCAGAAAACAATGTGAAATTCAATGATGAGAAATTCCAATTACTCCGATATGAAAAACGTGAGGAAATTAAAATTTCATCGGAGTATAAAACAAGTTCCAACCACACAATACAGCTAAAAACTAATGTCAAAGACCTGGGGTGATAATGTTAAAGGATCTCACCTTCAAGGACCATAACATTATATCAATCGCATCTGCTAGAAAAATGACAGGATGGATAATGAGAACCTTCAAAACTAGGGATGCCAAGCCCATGATGACACTCTTCAGGTCACTTGTTCTATCTAGGCTGGAATAATGTTGCACACTAACAGCACCTTTCAAGGCGGGTGAAATTGCTGACCTAGAAAATGTACAGAGAACCTTCACGGCATGCATAACTGCAATAAACCACCTCAATTACTGGGAACACTTGAAGTTCCTAAACCTGTACTCCCTAGAACGCAGGAGGGAGAGATACATGCTTATATACACCTGGAAAATCCTAGAGGAACTAGTACCAAATCTGTACACAAAAATCACTCCTTACGAAAGCAAAACACTCGGCAGACGCTGCAACATACCCCTAATGAAAAGCACGGATGCCACTAGCACGATAAGAGACAACACAATAAGTGTCAGGGGCCCAAGACTGTTCAACTGCCTTCTTAGCATATAGCAGGGGGATTACCAATAGACCCCTGGCTGTCTTCAAGCAGGTGCTGGACAGGCACCTAAAGTCGGTACCTGACCAGCCGGGTTGTGGTTCGTACGTTGGATTACGTCCGGCCAACAGTAACAACCTGGTTGATCAGGCTCTGATCCACCATGAGGCCTGGTCACAGACCCGGCCGGGGGGCGTTGACCCCTGGAACTCTCTCCAGGTATGGGAGCAGCATAATCAATTAAGGACCTAACATAGGCTAAGTACATCATTCTCACGATTCTCACATTAGCACCATAGTTGGGGTTGTAGCCAGCAACAGCTTTGAGAGCATTTAGCCTATTTTTGCATTTCTTATTTAATTGTGGTATAGTGGATTTGATAAGGGTACATATACTCCAAGATATCTGTAAGTTTTAACGTAGCTAATGTTTTCACCCTGCAAATACATGGGTGGGGGATGTCGTTTGCTTGTTAATATCTTTGTTTTAGAGGAAGATATTATGAGGCCTAGTTGATTACAAATTACTTGAACTTCATTAAGAATGGTACTCATCTTCTTATGCCCTGTTGTATGGATCATGATGTCATCAGCATAGCTTATAGCTATATGTTTAGGTAAAGTAGGTCGAGCATTTAGGAGAGCATTAATCAGAATAATAAATAGCATGGGACTGAAAACTCCCCCCTGTGGTGTACCTAGGGACATTTCTTTGGACTCACTTCTAAAGCCTTGGTAGAGGACAGAGGATACTCTATTTGACAGGTATTCTATTATCCAGCAGAGTAAGCTACCACCAATATTCATTTTGGCTAGTTCATGTAGTATAACGGTTCTGTTCGCGATATCAAATGCAAATTTTAAATCAAGAAATGTGGTAAAACTAGTAGAGGTGTGCAGTGAGAAAGGCGGAAATACAGTTCTGCACACTTTTACCTTTCATGAACCCATAGAGGTATGGGGGAAAGTTGGTGACTGATTCTGTAGTGCAGTCTGTTAAGTATCATTCTTTCAAGTTTTACCAAGACAACTAGCTAAGGAGATCGGTCTAAATCTATTAGGCTGTTGGGGCTTAGGGATAGGCACAATGAGACTATTGGTCCAGGAAGTAGGAAGAACCCCCTCAGTGTAACTGGTATTATACAGTGCTAACAAAGGGTTATCAGGCACGTGCCTTAGAGTTCTGAGAATATTATAGGTTATACCATCCTCTTCAGGAGCAGTTGATCGACCTTTAGTTAATGTGTTATCTAATTCACGCTCGGTGAAGAGGCAATCACTCTCATCAATATTTTGGCTCATAAAATTAATCAGTTTTAACATTTCTTCAGAAGCACTCTCTAAATTTTTTTCTAATATGAGATGAAAGGTTTTCATGCCTGGATGTTTTGGACCAGTCATTTATGAGGTCATTTGTTTTTTTCGAGATGAAAGGGATGAGCAACATTGCCAGTCTTTTTCCTGGTTATTTTATTTATACCTTTCCAAGCCAAACTTAAAGGGGTGGACCTATTTAATCCACTAACAAATTGTTCCCATTCCTATTGCCTAAGTCATTGGTTTTTATTGTCATTTATTAGTGGAAGGTTTATGTTTTCTTTTCCTGCCCACTTGATCTGTGAGGACAGTCTCAATAGTGGCAACTAAATCATCATTGAATTTTTGTGTGCCAATGGGCTCGTATTATTATTATTATTATTATAATCAAAAAGAAGCGCTAAGCCACAAGGACTATACAGCAATGGGCTCGTAATTCTTATACCATTGATCCAAGTGATTAATAAAGTTATCTCTGTTCTGGGTTGAGAATAAGTTTCCTCCTTCTGTATTTAGCTTCTTGATTGCTGGAGATATGATCAAGATTGACAGTTGTGAGTCTTGGGAAGTGATCAGATAGATCATCAACTATGACAGTCATGGATCGTACATTATGTATTAAATCCAAGGCACAGATTTAGTATGCCACCATATATGTGAGTAGGCTCAGTAGTGCCCACAATTCGAACATTATCATGCTCATTTACTAATTTCACAAGTTTAGTTCCATTGGTGCTTGTTATAGACCTACCAATATTCTCATGTCTGGCATTAAAGTCTCCAAGAATGAAGGTAGGTTCACTATTGATGTGATCTGGTAAAGCATCAGGTAGAAGCTGGTTCACTGGAGCATATTATTATTATTATAATCAAGGGGGAAGCGCTAAACCCGGAGGATTATACAGCGCCTGGGGGGGGGATGTGGAAGGCATTCAGGCTTAATTCGGGGAACTGGAGCACAGATCCAATTCCCTAAATCAAGAGCCCCTCACCAACATCAAGGAACCTTCCTTGAGGGGTCACTGGAGCATAAAGATTAAAAATGTTTATGGAAAAATCGCCTGTGTATACTTTGACACCATGATACTGCATGTTAACTCGACTCTGCAGAGCAAGGAGTGAATGTGGCAAGTTCTTTCTGACATACATCACATAACAGTTGGTTGACCGTAAGTTATAAGCTGCATATCCAGGCAACTTTGGTGGAGGTGTTCCATCTTTCAGTCTAGATTACTGCAAACAGATGACATCAATATTCTTGGTTGCACTAATATGATGTAAGTCGGGCAACCGCTTCCTGGTGGAAGCAATGTTCCATGAAAACATCTGTAATGTATCCATTGTAGTGAGTTATTGCAGTCTCTTGCTCATAAGATGGTAAGACTATTATGTTCTGGCTACAGTGTGCAGACACTTAAGAGCAAATAGCATAGTTTGTACGTGTTTATCTTCAGAACCTTTTTCTTTAAACATTTTTCCGCATCTTGGCAGCTAGTTCCAAGGCAAGTCTTGAAGCCAGGAGTCATGGGCTTCTTCCTTACAAATTGCTTGAAGCTGAACGGAGATTGCTGCACTTCTGACATTATCAGCGTTCTCAAGATTATTATTATTATTATAATCAAAAAGAAGCGCTAAGCCACAAGGACTATACAGCAGCGTTCTCAAGAGCATCATCCAAACTACATATATTTATTAAACTTGTCAGCATTTGTTTAAGATGCTCAATTTTTTTTTTTTTTGCAGGTTTGTTATAGTTTTAGGAAGGCAGGAGAATCCAATGCCTCTCCAGAGGAAGGCACTTCTGACTTAGTTCTTTATTTAACACCTATCACTTTAACAGGTAACATGGTTACATAGTGTTCTCTGATGGTGCCTGTGGCAAGACTGCCTCATCATTCATTGTAGGTAGGTCCTGTGCATCTGACTCATCTCCAGCTTCCAGGGATGTAACATGCATGATATCCGTCTGACTGTTGTAGATGTGTGTATTGGGAAAAATGACATGCTCATCCCCATATTCAGGTGTAGGCGTAGGTATCAGTAGTGGCAGATCAGTAGTTCCACATGTGCTTGCAGGGATGGCTAGCTCCTCCACAACTAGTGTGTGTGTGATGGCATTCTGGTATCACCAGAATCCTTTACAGGGAGGTTGGGCTCTTCCACACTTTGCAGAGGTTCAGTCTCAGATCTGGCTGTGGTAGACTGGATGGCCTCATCCTCAGTTACCATTAAAGGACTGTTATCAGGTTTACGTCGAAGGTTGTTTGGGTTCTGACTGCAGTCCTTGTAGGAAACTGTAACTCCAACTTCTTTACAGCTAATACACTTAATTTTTTGGATGTCAAGGTTTACTGTGTATTCTCTAGTGGAATGTTTCCCAGCACACTTACCACACCAAGAATGTAGTATTCCACAGTCTACTGAAACATTCAAATTCAAATTCAAATGTTTATTTCTCTGAATAGATTACAATGTGTGGTTTACATATTATAAGATAATTATAAAATAAAATACTTATTACAAAGAAGGCCACTAGTATGCCTAGGCATTTCGGGCAGACTTACCTGGAGTTTACCTGGAGAGAGTTCCGGGGGTCAACGCCCCCGCGGCCCGGTCTGTGACCAGGCCTCCTGGTGGATCAGAGCCTGATCAACCAGGTTGTTACTGCTGGCTGCACGGAATCCAGCGTACGAGCCACAGCCCGGCTGGTCAGGTACCGACTTTAGGTGCTTGTCCAGTGCCTGCTTGAAGACAGCCAGGGGTCTATTGGTAATCCCCCTTATGTATGCTGGGAGGCAGTTGAACAGTCTCGGGCCCCTGACACTTGTTATATTGTTTCTTAACGTGCTAGTGACACCCCTGCTTTTCATTGGGGGGATGTTGCATCATCTGCCGAGTCTTTTGCTTTCGTTGTGAGTGATTTTCGTGTGCAAGTTTGGTATTAGGCCTAGAATTTTCCAGGTGTATATAATCATGTATCTCTCCTGCCTGTGTTCCAGGGAGTACAGGTTCAGGAACTTCAAACACTCCCAGTAATTGAGGTGTTTTATCTCCGTTATGCGCGCCGTGAAGGTTCTCTCTACATTTTCTAGGTCAGCAATTTCACCTTCCTTGAACGGTGCTGCTAGTGTGCAGCAATATTCCAGCCTAGATAGAACAAGCGACCTGAAGAGTGTCATCATGGGCTTGGCATCCCTAGTTTTGAAGGTTCTCATTATCCATCCCGGCATTTTTCTAGCAGATGCGATTGATGCAATGTTATGGTCCTTGAAGGTGAGATCCTCTGACGTGATCACTCCCAGGTCTTTGACTTTGGTTTATTGCTCTATTTTGTGGCTGGAATTTGTTTTGTACCCTGAAGTTTTAATTTCCTCATGTTTACTATATCGGAGTAATTGTCCGCCTGGAGCCTTGCAGTGTCTGCAATGGAAGACAGTCATGCAGATTCGGGTGTCATTTGCAAAGGAAGACACGGTGCTGTGGCCGACATCCTTGTCTATGTCAGAAATGAGGATGAGAAACAAGATGGGAGAGAGTTCTGTGCCTTGTGGAACAGAGCTTTTCACTGTAGCCCCCTCAGACTTTACTCTGTTGACTACTACTCTGTGTTCTGTTTGTGAGGAAATTATAGATCCATCTACCAACTTTTCCTGTGATTCCTCTAGCACGCATTTTGTGCTCTATTACGCCATGGTCACACTTGTCGAAGGCTTTTGCAAAGTCTGTATATATTACATCTGCATTCTTTTTTGTCTTCTAGTGCATCTAGGACCTTGTTGTAGTGGTCCAGTAGTTGAAACAGACAGGAGCGACCTCCTCTAAATCCATGTTGCCCTGGGTTGTGTAATTGATGGGTATCTAGATGGGTGGCGATCTTGCTTCTTAGGACCCTTTCAAAGATTTTTTTATGATATGGGATGTTAGTGCTATCGGTCTGTAGTTCTTTGCTTTGTGGAATGGGGCTATGTCTGTTGTTTTAAGTAACTGTGGGACGACCCCCGTGTCCATGCTCCCTCTCCATAGGATGGTAAAAGCTCGTGATAGGGGCTTCTTGCAGTTCTTGATGAATACGGAGTTCCATGAGTTTGGCCCTGGGGCAGAGTGCATGGGCATGTCATTTATCGCCTGTTCGAAGTCATTTGGCGTCAGTATAACATCAGATAGGCTTATTTTTGCCAAATTCTGTGGCTCTCTCATAAAAAATTCATTTTGATCTTCGACTCTCAGTCTGGTTAATGGCTTGCTAAAAACTGAGTCATATTGGGACTTGAGCAGCTCACTCATTTCCGGTGGTGTGTGTTAGGTACCGGTGAGGTGTGTTAGGTACCGGTGGGGTGTGTTAGCTACCGGTGGGGTGTGTTAGCTACCGGTGGTGTGTGTTAGCTACCGGTGGTGTGTGTTAGGTACCAGTGGTGTGTGTTAGCTACCGGTGGGGTGTGTTAGCTACTGGTGGTGTGTGTTAGGTACCAGTGGTGTGTATTAGCTACCGGTGGTGTGTGTTAGCTACCGGTGGTGTGTGTTAGCTACTGGTGGGGTGTTAACTACCGGTGGTGTTAGGTACCGGTGGTATGTGTTAGCTACCGGTGGGGTGTGTTGGGTACCAGCAGTGTGTGTTAGGTACCGGTGGTGTGTGTTAGGTACTGGTGGGGTGTGTTAGCTACCGGTGGTGCGTATTAGGTACCAGTGGGGTGTTAGGTACCGGTGGGGTGTGTTAGGTACCGGTGGAGTGTGTTAGCTACTGGTGGTGTGTGTTAGCTACTGGTGGTGTGTGTTAGCTATCTGTGGTGTGTGTTAGCTACCGGTGGGGTGTTAGCTACCGGTGGTGTGTATTAAGTACTGGTGGGGTGTGTTAGCTACCGGTGGGGTGTGTTAGGTACCAGTGGTGTGTGTTAGGTACCGGTGGGGTGTGTTAGCTACAGGTGGTGTGTGTTAGGTACCAGTGGGGTGTTAGGTGCCGGTGGGGTGTGTTAGGTACCGGTGGAGTGTGTTAGGTACCGGTGGTGTGTGTTAGCTACTGGTGGGGTGTGTTAGCTACCGGTGGTGTGTGTTAGCTACCGGGTGTGTGTGTTAGGTACCGGTGGGGTGTTAGGTACCGGTGGGGTGTGTTAGGTACCGGTGGTGTGTGTTAGGTACCGGTGGGGGTGTGTTAGGTACTGGTGAGGTGTGTTAGGTACCGGTGGTGTGTGTTAGCTACCGGTGGTGTGTGTTAGCTACTGGTGGGGTGTGTTAGCTACCGGTGGTGTGTTAGCTACCGGGTGTGTGTTTAGGTACCGGTGGGGTGTTAGGTACCGGTGGGGTGTGTTAGGTACCGGTGGTGTGTGTTAGGTACCGGTGGGGGTGTGTTAGGTACTGGTGAGGTGTGTTAGCTACCGGTGGGGTGTGTTAGGTACTGGTGAGGTGTGTTAGCTACCGGTGGGGTGTGTTAGGTACTGGTGAGGTGTGTTAGCTACCGGTGGGGTGTGTTAGGGAGATAAGGTGTTTTTTAACGGTGCTTTTGAAAATGGTGGTTGAGTCGGCAGTTCTAGAGTTTTCAGGCAGGGAGTTCCAGATTTTAGACCCTTTTATGTACATTGAATTTGTGTATTATTATTATTATTATTATTATTATTATTATTATTATTATAAAAAAGAAGCGCTAAGCCACAAGGGCTATACAGCGCTGAAATTTGTGTGTAGATTTAGCCGGTTAGTTTTTTAGTTTAATATGTTTATTATGCACCCCATACCCATCCTGTGGGCGGTAGTCAAAAGATTACAGAGGTACATAATTGGTCCAGGGACTGGACTCCAAAGTTTTGATAGCTGAGCAAGTTACAGAGGTAATGAACTCACAATTTACAAAGGTAATGAACTCACAATTTACAAAGGTAATGAACTCACAATTTACAAAGGTAATGAACTCCAGGTAAGTCTGGTCACAATCATGACAAGTTACAAAGGCATTTACAGATTACAGAGGTACGTAATGGGTCCAGGGACTGGGCCCCCAAAGTTTTGATAGCTGAACTAGGTACAAAGGTAATGAGCTCACAAGTTACAAAGGTAATGAATTCTGTAGAATGGTTACTTACGTTTATACATGGCTACAATCATGAACAAATTATAGAGTAATGAGCAATTCACACTTCCACACCCGGTCACAACTGTAGTGAGTTATTGGTGCAAATATTGATTGTTGAGTCACACACACCACCCACACACACACACACACACACACACACTTTAGTTTAATATCTTTATTATGCACCCCATACCCATCCTGTGGGCGGTAGTCAAAAGATTACAAAGGTACATAATGGGTCCAGTGACTGGACCCCAAAGTTATGATAGCTGAACTAGTTACAAAGGTAATGAACTCCAGGTAGATCTGGTCACAATCATGGCAAGTTACAAAGGTAATGAATCAGCCTCACTCGTATACATGGTTACAATCATGAACAAATTACAAAGTAACGAGCCACTGATACGTCCACACCTGGTCACAATTGTAATGAGTTATAAATACAAATATTAAATGGGTCATACACCCACACGAGCGCGCCCGCACACATATACACACACGAAGGTGCACGCACAGACATGCACACGAGCGTATAAACATAAGCATACACACAAGCACGCACCCCCCCCCCCCACACACACACGTGGTAATGTTTTATTTACAGCTAGCAAAGTCAGGGTATTTCTCCATAATGGTCTGTAATATACCACTGTGGATAAAATACTTTGCCATTTCTTGAACATTTCTGAGTAAGTTGTCTCTAAATTCATTAATTTTATCGCACTCCAGTACATAATGACGCAAGGTGTGACAACAGTCCATCTGGTAAAGTTTACATTTCGTTTAGTCTACATCA